CAAGCAGAGCCTCCCCCGCGGGCTGGCGAGCGGGCGGGCGGCTCGGAGCGGCCCCGCCTGGCGCTGGGCCGGCCGGTTAATCTGTAACTCCCACCCGCGGGGCCTCCGGCCCATTTCGGGGAGGGGCAGGGGGCTCCGGGGCCAGGGCCTTCCCAGGGGGCTCCCAGAGGTCCGCAGTCCGGGGCCTAGGGAAGGCCCGCTCTGGGGTGCGGCTGGAGGCCGGGGGGGGGGGGTGCCCCTCCACTGGGGGGAGTGGAGGGACAGGGAGGGCCTGGCCCTGCTGGGTGGAGGGGACAGGTCCAGGCCTGGGGGGGGGGAAGAGGGGTGGAGGGGACAGGTCCAGGCCTGGGGGGAAGAGGAGAGGAGGGGAGAAGAGGGGAGCCTGGTCCCCTCCATCCGGGTGGGAGGTGCCGGGGGTCAGCCATCCTGGGCAGGGCTGTGTCCCCCGGACGCCCAGCCCGGGTCTGGGGCTCAGGGCTGCCAGGGGGGATAGCGGGGACCGTTCCTACTGCGTCCAGGCCCCCAGGCCTCGAAGTCGGGGCTCCAGGCTGGGCGAGGCCCGGGCTCCGGATCCTCCCTCACCAAACAGCCACCCCAACGCCTCCCTCCGGGGTCAGGAGGGTCCGGAGGCGGGTGGCTGGGTGTCCGGTGTGTGTGATGGTGAGGCCTCTGCAGATGGGCACGGCGTCAGAGGCTGCCTGGCTGGGGCGCACACACACACACACACACACACACAGAGACACACAGACACACAGACACACACACACACACAGACACAGACACACAGACACACAGACACACAGACACACACACAGACACACACACACACAGACACACACACACACAGAGACACACAGACACACAGACACACAGACACACACACAGACACACACACAGACACACACACAGAGACACACACACAGACACACACACAGACACACACACAGACACACACACAGACACACACAGACACACACACAGACACACACACAGACACACACAGACACACACAGAGAGACACACTCACACATACACACAGACACACACACAGACACACACATACACACACACAGACACCGACACAGACACATTCACAGACACACACACACAGACACAGACACAGACACACACACAGACACAGACACAGACACACACACAGACACACACATACACACACTCACAGACACACACACACAGACACACACACAGAGACACACAAACACACAGACACAGACACACAGACACAGACACACAGACACAGACACACACACTCATAGACACACACACAAAGACACACAGAGACACACACACACAGACACACAGACACACACACAGACACACACACAGACACACACACAGACACACACAGACACACACAGAGAGACACACTCACACATACACACAGACACACACACAGACACACACATACACACACACAGACACCGACACAGACACATTCACAGACACACACACACAGACACAGACACAGACACACACACAGACACAGACACAGACACACACACAGACACACACATACACACACTCACAGACACACACACACAGACACACACACAGAGACACACAAACACACAGACACAGACACACAGACACAGACACACAGACACAGACACACACACTCATAGACACACACACAAAGACACACAGAGACACACACACACAGACACACAGACACACACACAGACACACACACAGACACACACACAGACACACACACAGACACACACAGAGAGACACACTCACACATACACACAGAGACACACACACAGACACACACATACACACAAAGACACACACACAGACACACACACAGACATACATATACACACAAAGACACACACACAGACACACAGACACACACACAGAGACACACACACAGACACACTCACAGACACACACACACAGACACACACACACAGACACACACACAGACACACACACAGACACACACAGAGAGACACACTCACACAGACACACAGACACACATACAGACACACACATACACACAGACAAAGACACACACACAGACACACACACAGAGACATACACATACACACAAAGACACACACACAGACACACACAGAGACACACACAGACACACACACAGACACACACAGAGAGACACACTCACACATACACACAGAGACACACACACAGACACACACATACACACAGACAAAGACACACACAGACACACACACAGACACACACATACACACAAAGACACACACACAGACACACACAGACACACAGACACACACACAGACACACACACAGAGACACACACAGACACAGACACACACACAGACACACACACAGACACACACACAGACACACACAGAGAGACACACTCACACATACACACAGACACACACACAGACACACACATACACACAAAGACACACACACAGACACACACAGAGACATACACATACACACAAAGACACACACACAGACACACACAGAGACACACACAGACACACAGACACACACACACACACCCCGCGGGGTCCCGGGCACAGGAGGGGGTCGCGGCCCCAGTGGGTCTCCAGAGCAGCCTGGCAGGGCTCCCCCGAAGGGAGGTTTGGGGGCTCCAGAGGCGCCGAGGCGGAGTCGGCCGCCAGGGGGCAGCGTGCGGCCAGGGAGGCGCCGCCCAGCACTTAGGCGAGGGCTGGTGACGGACGGGGTCTCAGGCTGAGAAGGGACGATCCCGCCATCACGGGGCGCAGGGAGGACACCCACAGGTCCCTCCCGGCCCCGGGCCCTGTCACAGGAGAGAACGTGTGTGTGTAACGGACTGAGACGCAATAGAAGTGAGCTTCTGCTCCTGCTGCAGGCGGTGTGCCGTGCTCTGCCCCGCGGCCCTCGGGGCTCCTGCGGCGTCCCAGCCGCCTCCCTCGCCCCCCGCGCCTCCCTGACCGCGGCCCCCGGAGAGGAGGGGGAGCCTGCCGGCGGCCGGGGGGGCTGGGACGCCGGCCCCTCTGCTCAGGGTTTGCGATCTCGCCTCTTGGCTGAGGGACGTCACCCGTGGCCTCTCCGAGCTTCGGAGGAGGGCTGTGGCCCCGGCGGCACCCACCGCTGGGGGGGGGGGGGCAGAAGGAGGAGGGTACGTGCCAGTGCCAGCAGGGCCTCCACGCCCCAGAGAGGGTCGGGACCCCGGCTGCGGTGCCGTCTGCAGCACAAACAGGATTCCCTTTGCTTCCTTCCCACACACTTTCAATGACAAAAGGAGAGCGTAGTGTTTGTGTCCAGAGGGTGGTGTTTGCTTGCCGGGGCCCCTGGGTGGCCTGCCCCCCGCCCTCCCCAGGCTCTGCCCCTGCCTTTCGGGGAGGGCCAGCCCGTCCCGGGACGGCAGGTTCCGTCAGCCGGTGACTGCCGTTCTTGATTCAGTTCAGAATCAAGCCAAAGAGGAGATCACCTCTGTGAGAGGGGAGGGTCCCACATGCCCAGAGAACTAAGCTGGGAAGCCGGCAGCCTGAGAGGGTCGCCCCCCCCCCCCCCCGGGGCTCCTTCCCGGCAAAACGGTAAAACGGGCGAGGCCTGCAGGGCGGGTCCCTCCAGCCCCCGGGCAGGACTCCGCGTCACATGCTGCCTTGGTCACTGTCACGGGCTCACAGGGTGCTGGGCGGGCGCCTCAGGCACAGGAGGGGCCGCCCGGTCTGTCCGTCCACACACCTGCCCCTCACGTCAAACCTGCCCCCCACCCCGCCCGCCCTCTTCCCCCCGGGCGAGGGCACCAGTCCTGCCGGTCCTCCCTTCGGGCGGCTCTGATCCCGGCCTGGGCCGGCGGGGCTGTCATTCTGTCTTATCGGTCTGTCCGCACGGGGGAGGGTGCAGCTCCAGTGCGGACAGAGCGGGTGGCAGGGCGTGGTGGGGTGGGGCGGGGTGCCGTGCCCTGTCCACTAGCCCACCCCGCGGTGGCCCCAGGCAGACCCAGGCCTCAGAGGTGCCACCCGGTCAGTGACAGACCCAGAGCCTGTTTCCCACCCGCTGGGCAGGGCTGGGGGGACCCCACGGCCTCGAGGCTTCAGCCCGGGCTCGGGGTGTGCCCAGGGCCGGATCTCCAGGAGTCCGCGCCTCCCGGCTTCGGAGACAGAGGGGCGCGGACCCTCCCTCCCTCCCTCCGGCTCCCCCTCCTGCCCCAGGGCCGAGGGCCGGCAGGTGTGCCAGGGCCCAGGTGCGCGGCCCTCCGGGGACCCCGGCCCGCGGGCGCGGCCCTCCCGGGGACCCCGACTCGCTGCCGCCGGCACCAGCGCCCCGACAGCGGACGCGGGGTGCCGGGGCGACGCTCAGCTGCGGCCGGGCGCCCTCGGGGGCCACGGGTGCGGGCCGGGCGCGGGGCCCGCGGTGCCAGGAGGGCGGAGGGGGGCGCGGAGGGACGGCCCCGCCTGCAGACAAAGGAGCCCGGGGGCGGCGCGGTGCGGGTGCGGGGGGAATGGGGCGAGGGGGCGGGGCGCGGGTGTCACGTTACCGCCCGCAGCGCCTTTCCCTCGGCCCCGCCCCCCGCGCCCGCGCCCGCCAATCCGGCCGCCCGCCCCGGCGCCCCGCCCACCGCGGGGGGGCAGAGGCGCGCCCCCGGCCAATGGGCGGCGCGCGGGGCGGGGCCGGGCGCGCGGGGGGGCCGGGCGCGACCAATGGCGTGCGTGTTGTCGGAGCTGAAAATACTACTTTATGCAAATGACGGGGGGCCCCGCGGGCCGGGGGGCGGCGCCCGCGGGTATAAAGGGGCGCGCGCGGGCCGGGGCTGCACAGGCGAGTGCTCTGTGCTCGGTGCTGCCGCCCAGCCCGGAGCCACCCTGCGAGCGACCACAGCCACCGAGGGGGCGCGGCCGCCAGCCGACCTCACCGCCAGCGACTCCGGAGCCCTGCCCGGCCCGTCCGCCAGGTACCCGCCCGGACTCCCCGCTGCCCGCTCCCGCCCCCGCCCCCGCCCCCGCCCGCCCGCCCCGACCGCCCGCTGTCCCGCCCGCAGCTCCCGCAGCATGGAGCGCCTGGTGCCCCGCCGCGCCCACCCGCCCGCGACGCGCAGCAGCGCCTGCCGCCGCCTCTTCGGGCCGGTGGACCACGAGCAGCTGAGCCGCGAGCTGCAGGCGCGCCTGGCCGAGCTGAGCGCCGAGGACCAGCGCCGCTGGGACTACAACTTCCAGCGCGACGAGCCGCTGCGCGGCCCCGGCCGCCTGCAGTGGACCGAGGTGGACAGCGAGTCGGTGCCCGCCTTCTACCGCGAGACCGTGCAGGTGGGGCGCTGCCGCGTGCTGCTGGCGCCCCGGCCCCGCCCGGACGGCGCGGGCGCCCCGCCGGCCCCCGTGCCGCCGGCCGCCGAGGAGCCGCGCGACGGCGCGGGGGACGCTGCGGGGGACGCCCCGGCGCCGCCCAACGGCGACCCCGAGGTGTCTCCCCCGCCGACCCCGGCGCCCGAGGCCGCGCAGGAGACCGCTGAGCCCGAGGCGGGCCCGCCGCCGCCGCGCGACCCGGAGCCCGAGCCCGAGCCCGAGCCCGAGCCCGAGGCCGAGGAGGACGAGGAGGACGACGAGCCCGAGGACGAGCCGCCGCAGATCTCCGGGCGCCCCGCGCAGGGCGCCTCGGTGATCGTCCCCGTGGCGCTGCCCGGGGCCGCCGTGGCCGTGCTCGCGGCCCCCGCCGCCGTGCCCGCCGCCGGCGCCGCCGGGGCCGCTCTGGGCGCTGCCGCCAACGCCCCCGGGGCCCCGGGGGGCGCCGCCGCGGTGAAGAAGCTGCTGGTCGGGCCTCTGATCTCCGGTGAGTCCGCGCCCCGCCCTTAGTCCGCGGCGGGGCCCCCGGGGTCCCCCGGCCCCCCTGACCCGCCCTGTCCCCTCAGACTTCTTCGCCAAACGCAAGCGCTCCGCGCCCGAGGCCAAGGCCAACGAGGGGCCCGGCGGCGGCTGCTCCGCCCCTGGCGGCGGCCCCGGCGTGGGCCCCGCCGAGCAGACCCCGCGCAAGCGGATGAGATGAGGTGAGTGGTGTCGGGGCGCGGGCGCGGGCGGGTTGGGGGGCCCCCAGGCCGCTCACTCTCTCCCTCTCTCCCGCCGCAGCCTCTCCCCCAGGAGCCCGGGACCCTCTGACCGCGGACAGGACACGCCGCCCCCAGACCGGCCAATAGCAGCTGCTGGCGAGCAGCGATCGGTTTTGTGTAAAAGTCTGACCGCCGTGCCATGTATTAGTCACTTCCCACCCAACCTGCCGGCACCAAAAGTACACCAGTCCCAAGGCGGAAAGCTTTAAGAGTCATTTATAGAAACGGTTTAATCTCTGCTGAAACTCAGCGCAAAAAAATGATGAAAAAAAGAGAAAAAAAGGATAAAACATGTATATTTGTACAAAAAAAAGTTAAAAAAAAAACTTATACTAACTTATATTTTCTATTTATGTCCAGGCGTGGCCGCTCTGCCCCCGGCAGCGTAGCCGCTGGCTTTGCTAAGGCACGCACCCACCACCGGGGCGGGGGTCCCCCCAGATCCATCCCACAGGGGACCCCGGTGCGGGCGCCCACCAGCCCGCCCGCCCGCGTGCCCGCCACTGCGCGCCGCCCACCGCGCGCCGCCCTCCTAGCTTGCAGTCTCTGCCCCGTGCTCTCGCCATCTGTCTCTGTCTCTTTCTTTCTTTCTTTCTCTCTTTCTCTCCGAGTTGATCCCCCACACCTGACATCTCTGAGAAAAGGTCCTGAGCCGGCACACCTGCCCGGCCCCTGTCCGCTGGGTCCCAATAAAGAGGCCAAAAAATTACTGCAAATTGTGTGTGTGTGCGTTTGTGTGTCCGTCCACTCAGCCCCGCCCGGCAGCGGGGGCGCCCAGGCCCTCCACGTGTTCCCCCCAAACACACAGAGCGGAGCCCCCACTGCTCCCTGAGGTGCTGGCCTCCCGCAGGCCGGAGGGCGGGCGGGGAGGACAGAGCGCGGCTCTGAGGAAGCACCCACCAGCCTGGCTCCCAAGGGCCCCTCTTTGTCTCACCGTGGACCGAGCGACGGCTTGCCCCGGGAAGGGGGGGGGGCGAGGACGCTGTGAGGCCAGCAGTTTCCAGTTTGGGGCGATGACCCCTCCCCCAACCAGGGACAAAGGCTGAGTCCACCCTGGACTCCAAAGATGGACATGAACTCACAGCTAACCCTCCAGTGCCCAGCCCGGCCCCTCTGAGCATGCCCACCCCATGAGTGGGCCCCTCACCCCTCAGCCGAGAGGCACCCACCCAATGAGTGGGCCCCTCACCCCTCAGCCGAGAGGCACCCACCCAATGAGTGGGCCCCTCACCCCTCAGCCGAGAGGCACCCACCCCATGAGTGGGCCCCTCACCCCTCAGCCGAGAGGCACCCACCCAATGAGTGGGCCCCTCTCCCCTCAGCCGAGAGGCACCCACCCCATGAGTGGGCCCCTCACCCCTCAGCCGAGAGGCACCACCCCATGAGTGGGCCCCTCTCCCCTCAGCTGAGCGCCCCACCCCCCCGAGGGGCCCATCCCCCGTCGCTCCCGTCCACCTGGCCGCAGGCGGAGTCAGCCCGGCACCCGGACTCGAGGCGCCAGCGGGTGGGGGAGGGGCGGCTCCCGAGCGGGCAGAGCACAGCGGCTGCCGGACAGGGTGGCGGGAGGGAGAGGGGGTGTCCCTGAGGGTGGGATCTGGAGGGTGGGCACCCACGGTCCCCTGTGAGGGGGTCCCACTGGCCCCGGGGCCCGCTCTCCACCCCCCCCCCACCTGCCTCCAGCTGCAGAGGGGGGGTGGGGTGACACACACTCTTACCTGGGGGGGCAGGGGCAGGGCTGGGGGCTGCCGGGAGCCTGCCCTCCAGAGGGAGAGAGCACGGGGCTTGGGGTCTCACAGGTGACTCGGGGAGCTTCACCCCCCTTTCCAGGTCCTGGGGGGGGAGCTCGGGGGTCAGGGTGCCCCCTCTCTGGCCAAGCCCAGAGGGTCTGAGGCCGGCGCCCACACGGGGCCTGCCTGTCACAGGGACCCCTGCTCCTGGCCCGTGAGGAGGAGGAGGAGGAGGGTGAGAAGGACAATGAGGACGAGGCCCCAATGGCTCAGCTGAGCCCCGCTCTGTGCCCTCACTGGGTCAGACCCCGAGCCCCCGTGTGCCTGTCTGTCTGAGGAGTCGGAGGGGGGGTCACTGCCCAGGAGGCGCCGCTGACCGGCAGGGCCCAGGGCTTTGTTCAGGCCGCAGGCTCTGCTGCCTTAGGGGTTGCCCGGTCCTGTCCCTGGGCAGGGCCGGTGGGGAGGCCCAGGCCCCAGGACAGCGGCCCGGGGGGCTCAGGGCGCTTCCGGGGGGGGGGTGCCAGGCCCGGGCGGGGCCATTGGGGAGGCCCAGGCCCCAGGACAGCGGCCCGGGGGGCTCAGGGCGCTTCCGGGGGGGGGGGGTGCCAGGCCCGGGCGGGGCCATTGGGGAGGCCCAGGCCCCAGGACAGCGGCCCGGGGGCTCAGGGCGCTTCCCGGGGGGGGGGGGTGCCAGGCCCGGGCGGGGCCGGTGGGGAGGCCCAGGCCCCAGGACAGCGGCCCGGGGGGCTCAGGGCGCTTCCCGGGGGGGGGGGCCAGGCCCGGGCGGGGCCGGGGGAGGCCCAGGCCCCAGGACAGCGGCCCGGGGGGCTCAGGGCGCTTCCCGGGGGGGGGGTTGCCAGGCCCGGGCGGGGCCGGGGGAGGCGGTGTCCTGGGCCCCGCGGGGAGGGTGATCGGCCCCGACCTACAGACCCCGAAGCGGTGCCGCCAGGGGCCGCGGGCACGGCAGCCACGGCAGCCGCGGCGTGGGCGGAGGTGGCCGCCGCGTGGGCGAGGGCAGGGCCCCCCGAGCAGCGGGCGTCAGGCCGGCCGGAGTCGGGTGGACGGTGGCTCGAGGACTCTGGGGGGGACGCCAGGTCCTCTGGGCACCCTCCACCGGGTCTGGGGGCGGCCCTGGGCCTGAGGTGCTTCAGAGTCTCAGTGGCGGGTGCCTTTCGGGTGCCTGTCAGGCCTCCCACTCCCGGTCCCTCCCGGTCCCGCCCGGGCCCTGGGTGAGAGGTGGGGTTTTGTCTGCAGGCAGCGGGGTGCCCTGGAGGCATGGAGGTGGGGGTGAGGGGGGTGCAGAGCTGGCTGCTGGGTGCGGGGACCTGGGACGGGGGGGGGGTGCTGGGTGCGGGGACCTGGGGATGAGGGGCCAGGGAGGGGCTGCTGGGTGTGAGCAGGGTTGGAGGGGAGGGGCGCGCAGTGGGTAGAGGCAGGGGGTGCACAGATGACCCTCCCGGGACCAGACTGGGCCCCCCCAGCCCCGGGGCCTCCTCTGCGTGGGAGCTCAGCGCCCCTCCCACCGGGCCCCGAGTGCGGCCCGGGGCCACCTCCTGCCCATGAATGCAACACATGCACACACAGAGACATGCACACACAGTCACAGACATGCAGACACTGTGCGCACACACGGACACAGAACCACAAACACACACACACTCACACACACAGACATGCACACACAGACAGACATGCAGACACTGTGAGCACACACGGACACAGAACCACAACCACACACCCACACACACACACACACACACACAGAGACATGCACACACAGTCACAGACATGCAGACACTGTGAGCACACACGGACACAGAACCACAAACACACACCCACACACCCACACACACACACACACACACACACACAGACATGCAAGTCACAGACATGCAGACACTGTGAGCACACACGGACACAGAACCACAACCACACACACATACACACATGCAGGCACACACACGTGCACACGCGTCCAGCACTCCGACATGTGTCTTTCTTTGATGAGGGGAGCTGATAGGGTTTGGGGGTCACCATCGTGATGGGCACACCGAGCCCTGGGCGCGGGGCCCGTGTTTCGGGGTCACACACGGGGACACCCCGGGATGTGCCTGGGCGTGAGGAACAGGATGGCCTCGGTGGCCTCGCGGCATCAGGAAGGAATGACCCAACATCTACTGGCGCCGAGAGCCTGGGCTGGTCCCGCCTTGGCTGCCCACCCCGGGGCTGCCTGGGCTTCCTCCGGCATGGCGGCTCTGAGTGCGGGGGTGGGGGGGACCGCCTGCTCCCCCAGAGCCACAGCCGCGTCCGCCGGGCACCCCTCCCCGCAGTGCCCAGCCCGGCGCCAGGGCCGCCCTGCACCACCGGCGTCTCCTTCGGGCTCACAGGACAGTCCCCCAAACGAAACACAAAACAGGCTGTCCCGGGGCGGAGAGGAGGCCACGGAGCAAGTCCTGACAAGCGCCCGCAGAGCTGGTCATCGCCGTCTCCAGGGACCGGAGAGCGGGTCCTCGCTGTCCCCACCCAGGCCCCGGCTCTGCCTCCCGGCGCCGCCCGCAGCCCCAGCCCCAGCCCCAGCCCCAGCCCCAGCTCCAGCTCCAGCCCCAGCCCCAGCCCCAGCCCCAGCCCAGCCCCAGCCCCAGCCCCAGCCCCTGCCCCAGCCCCAGCCCAGCCCCAGCCCCAGCCCCAGCCCAGCCCACAGCCCCAGCCCCAGCCCCAGCCCCAGCCCCAGCCCAGCCCCAGCCCCCAGCCCCAGCTCCAGCTCCAGCCCCAGCCCCAGCCCCAGCCCCAGCCCAGCCCCAGCCCCAGCCCCTGCCCCAGCCCCAGCCCAGCCCCAGCCCCAGCCCCAGCCCCAGCCCAGCCCACAGCCCCAGCCCCAGCCCCAGCCCCAGCCCCAGCCCCAGCCCCAGCCTCCAGCCCCCAGCCCCAGCCCCAGCCCCAGCCCCAGCCCCAGCCCCAGCCCCAGCCCCAGCCCCCAGCCCCAGCCCCAGCCCCAGCCCCAGCCCAGCCCCAGCCCCGGCCCAGCCCCAGCCACAGCCCCAGCCCCAGCCCCAGCCCCAGCCCGCAGTCCCAACCCCCAGCCCCAGCCCCAGCCCCAGCCCCCAGCCTGCAGGCCGGTTCTGTTATCTGTGTGTGTGTTGCAACCGACAACAGTGCGATGTGATGTACAACACACACCTGTCTACACACACACACACACACACACACACACA